GTACAGCATCACTTTACGTTCAAAACACTAGAAAAACTAGGGATAACAGGAACTTACCTCAACATTGTAAAAGCTATATATGCTAAGCCTCAGGCTAGCATCATTCTAAATGGAGAAAAACTAAAGGCATTCCCTCTAAAATCTGGAACAAGACAGGGATGCCCTCTCTCACCACTTCTATTCAATATAGTTCTCGAAATACTGGCCAGAGCAATTAGACAGACAAAAGAAATTAAAGGCATAAAAATAGGAAAAGAAGAACTTAAATTATCACTATTTGCGGGTGATATGATCCTATACCTAGAAGACCCAAAAGGATCTACAAAGAAACTACTAGAGCTAATAAATGAATTCAGCAAAGTAACAGGATATAAAATCAACACGCATAAATCAAAGGCATTCCTGAATATCAGTGACAAATCTTCTGAATTGGAAATGAGGAAAACCACCCCATTCACAATATCCTCAAAAAAAATAAAATACTTGGGAATCAACCTAACAAAAGAGGTGAAAGAGTTATAAAATGAAAACTACAGAACCCTAAAGAGAGAAATAGAAGAAGATCTTAGAAGATGGAAAAATACACCCTGTTCATGGATAGGCAGAACTAACATCATCAAAATGGCGATATTACCAAAAGTTCTCTATAGTTCAATGCAATGCCAATCAAAATCCCAACGGAATTTGTTGTAGAAATAGATAAAGCAATCATGAAATTCATATGGAAAAATAAAAGACCCAGAATACCAAAAACAACTCTAAGCAGGAAGTGTGAATCAGGCGGTATAGCGATACCAGACCTCAAACTATACTACAGAGCAACAGTAACAAAAACAGCATAGTACTGGTACCAAAACCAGCGGGTGGACCAATGGTACAGAATAGAGGACACAGAAACCAATCCACAAAATTACAACTATCTTATATTCGATAAAGGGGCTAAAAGCATGCAATGGAGGAAGGATAGCATCTTCAACAAATGGTGCTGGGAAAACTGGAAATCCATATGCAACAAAATGAAACTGAATCCCTTTCTCTCGTCATGCACAAAAGTTAACTCAAAATGGATCAAGGAGCTTGATATCAAATCAAACAGTCTGCGTCTGATAGAAGAAAAAGTTGGCTCCGATCTACATACTGTGGGGTCGGGCTCCAAATTCCTTAATAGGACACCCATAGCACAAGAGATAAAAACAAGAATCAACAAATGGGACTTACTCAAACTAAAAAGTTTTTTCTCAGCAAGAGAAACAATAAGAGAGGTAAATAGGGAGCCTACATTCTGGGAACAAATCTTTACTCCTCACACTTCAGATAGAGCCCTAATATCCAGAGTATACAAAGAACTCAAAAATTTAAGCAATAAGAAAACAAATAACCCAATCAACAAATGGGCCAAGGACCTGAACAGACACTTCTCAGAGGAGGACATACAATCAATCAACAAGTACATGAAAAAATGCTCACCATCTCTAGCAGTCAGAGAAATGCAAATCAAAACCACCCTAAGATACCATCTCACTCCAGTAAGATTGGCAGCCATTATGAAGTCAAACAACAACAAGTGCTGGCGAGGATGTGGGGAAAAGGGTACACTTGTACATTGCTGGTGGAACTGCAAATTGGTGCGTCCAATTTGGAAAGCAGTATGAAGATTCCTGGGAAAGCTGGGAATGGAACCACCATTTGACCCACCTATTGCCCTTCTCGGACTATTCCCTGAAGACCTTAAAAGTGCATACTATAGGGATACTGCTACATCGATGTTCATAGCAGCACAATTCACAATAGCTAGACTGTGGAACCAACTTAGATGCCCTTCAATAGATGAATGGATTAAAAAAATGTGGCATTTATACACAATGGAGTATTACTCAGCACTAAAAAATGACAAAATCATGGAATTTGCAGGGAAATGGATGGCATTAGAGCAGATTATGCTAAGTGAAGCTAGCCAATCCCTAAAAAACAAATGCCAAATGTCTTCTTTGATATAAGGAGAACAACTAAAAACAGAGCAGGGAGGAAGAGCATGAGAAAAAGATTAACATTAAACAGGGACGAGAGGTGGGAGGGAAAGGGAGAGAGAAGGGAAATTGTATGGAAATGGAAGGAGACCCTCATTGTTATACAAAATTACATATAAGAGGATGTGAGGGGAAAGGGAAAAAAAATCAAGGGAGAGAAATGAATTACAGTAGATGGGATAGAGAGAGAAGATGGGAGGGGAGGGGAGGGGGGATAGTAGAGGATAGGAAAGATAGCAGAATACAACAGTCACTAGTATGGCAATATGTAAAAACGTGGATGTGTAACCGATGTGATTCTGCAATCTGTATACGGGGTAAAAATGGGAGTTCATAACCCACTTGAATCAAATGTATGAAATATGATATGTCAAGAGCTTTGTAATGTTCTGAACAACCAATAAAAAAAATAAAAAAATAAATAAAATTGCATTAAAAAAAATTGCACTTTCCTTTCTTTATAGTTATTCATGGACATTTATTTTATTTATTTACCTGTCGGGCTGAGAATTGAACCCAGTGCCTCATGCATGTTAGGCAAGTGCCCTACCACTGTTTTCCTGTTTTAATTTGCTTTTCCTTTGCTACTATCCTTATTTTCCTGTTTTAATTTACTTTTCCTTTATCCGTACTCAATTTACCTATGAATTGTCTATGTGATGTTTATCAATATATATATTATAAAGTAAAAAATGGGCTGGCTTGTGTCTCAGTGGTAGAGTACTCACTTAACACATGTGAAACACTGGGTTCAATCCTAAGCACCATATAAAAATAAATAAATAAAATAATTAACAATCAGTGAGGTGAATAGAGAGCCTACAGAATGGGAGCATATTTTTACCACATGCACATCAGATAGAGCACTAATCTATAGGATATATAAAGAACTCAGAAAGCTAAACACCAAAAAAAACTCCAAATAACCCAATCAACAAATGGACCAGGGAACTGAACAGACACTTCTCAGAAGATGATATACGATCAATCAATAAATGTATGAAAATTGTTCAACATCTCTAGCAATCAGAGCAATGCAAATCAAAACTAAGATTTCATCTCACACAAGTCAGAATGGCAGCTTTAAGAACACAAACAACAATAAGTATTGGCAAGGATGTGGGGGGAAAGGTACACTCATACATTGCTGGTGGGACTGCAAAGTGGTACAGCCAATATGGAAAGCAGTATGGAGATTCCTTGGAAAACTTGGAATGGAATCACCACTTGACCCAGCTATCCCTCTCCTCAGTCTATATCCAAAGGACTTAAAAACAGCATACTATTCTTCCCATGCTCCCCGTCCCTACTCCACTATGAATTAGCCTCCTTATATCAGAGAAAACATTCGACATTTGGTTTGTTGGGAATTGTTAGAATTGTCTACCCTAACACCATCCATTAATCTGTAAATGCCATGATTTTATTCTCTTTTATTACTGAGTAATAGTCCATTGTGTATATATGCCACATTTTTTTTATCCATTCATCTACTGAAGGGCATCTAGGTTGGTCCCACAGTTTAGCTATTGTAAATTGTGCTGCTATAAATATTGATGTGGCTGTGTCCCTGTAGTATGCTGTTTTTAAGTCCTTTGGGTATAGACCGAGGAGAGGGATAGCTGGGTCAAATGGTGGTTCCATTCCAATTTTCCAAGGAATCTCCATACTGCTTTCCATGTTGGCTGCACCACTTTGCAGTCCCACTAGCAGTATATGAGTGTACCTTTTCCCTACATCCTCGCCAACACTTATTGTTTGTCTTCATAATAGCTGCTATTCTGACTTGTGAGAGATGAAATCTTAAGAGTAGTTTTGATTTGCATTTCTCTAATTGCTATCGATAATGAACATAGGGCAGAGGGGTGGGAGGGGAAGGGAGGAGGCATGGGGTTAGAAATGATGGTGGGATGTGATGGGCATTACTATCCAAACGATGAAGACACTAATTGGTATGAATATACTTCGTATACAACCAGAGATATGAAAAATTGTGCTCTATATATGTAATAAGAATTTTAATGCATTCCGCTGTCATATATAAATAAAAAATTAACAATAAGTGAAGTCATATTGCAAAAAATTCTGCCGTTGCAAATGCAAATTGGGTTATATTACATTTATTCAAATTATTTTCAAAACGACTCATTGGATTGTAAAATTAGCAAGAAAATGGACCCTTCACATTAGTGGAAAATAATGCTAAATTCTATAAGCTCATACAGCCATCACAGGCAAATAATTTGACAAATTAATAAATCTGTGATTCTCCAAAAAAACTCAGAATACTAGAGTTACATAGCCATATCAAAGTTTATAGCAACAAAATTCACAAAAGCTAAATTATAGAACCAACCTAGATGCCCTTCAGCAGATGAATGGATAAAGAAACTGTGGTATATATATATATACACAATGAAACATTACTTAGCATTAAAAGAGAAAAAAACATGGCATTTGCCAAATGTTTCTCTAATATGAGAATGCTGGTCCATAATAAGGATGGGGTTGGGGGAAGCATGGGAGGAAACTTTAGATAGAGCAAAGGGGAGGGAGGGGGAAGAAGGGGAGGAAAGGGGAGGGAGAGGGAGGAGGAAGAAAGGGGCAGGAGGGTAGGAAAGACAGTGGAATAAGATGGACATTACCCTAAGTACATGTATAAAAACAAGAATGGTGTGACTCTACTTTGTGTACAACCAGTCATGAAAAATTGTGCTCTATATGTGTACTATGAATTTAAATGCATTCTGCTGTCCTATATAATAAATTAGAATAAATAAACAATTTAAAAAATAAAGTGATTAAAAAATAAAAAGGAAAAATAAAAAATATGACATAATGAAAATTGATAAATGTGGGGATGGATTTATTACATTTTAGAAGTCATACTATATACTGAAATCCTGAACTATATATATTTGAACTATTTAATGATTATTTTGTTTTAAAAACATAGCTAATAAAGTAATCCACCTGCAAAACTGCCTGGGTACCAGCTTGTATGTTTTGTTCTGTGGCTTCTTCAGTGGCATTATGAAGAGTATCTTGGTAGGAGCCATTTTTTGCCCAACTGGAATTTCGAACATGCTCAGCAATATTGGTCCCATTTTCCTGAAGCAAAATACCAAGTTTTTAACATTTCAATCATTAGAGTGCTAAAAAGGGTCAGGTAAGCTAAAAAAGGAAATGAAATTATTAGATCACACTATGAAACAAGTTTCTGTCAAAACAGTTTATATCTTGATTACAAAGGCAATCAATCTATATGCCCTATAAAGAATCTCAATGACAAAAATACAAAGTAAAAAAAAAAAAAAATCACCCATAATGACTATCTAGAATTAATATCATTTCAGATATAGAGACATTTTTCTAAATTATGTAATGTATAAACCCCTTCTATTCTCTCACACATTAGAAAATGGAATTGTAGTATTTAAAGCTCTGTAAAAGATGAATTCTGTTCTAAATTAAATACCAGAATTCAAACAACTTTAAAAAAAAGAAAATAATTTCTATGTATCCTATTTAAGAGTAGTAAATTCCCATTATTCTAATACTAATACTTCTAACAGCTAAGAATGCAGTTTTCTGCCTGCGTTTTAGCTGTTACAAGTCTTAATAGATTAGAAATCCTTCAGGTAAAAAGTATACAAACAGAAATTTCACTCAGTGTTAGTTTTCTTTTTAAAGTTTCCCTCTACTTTGTTCCTACTTTTGGTAACTCACCAATATTTTCAAATAGTTTTAAAAATATTTTTATTAAGCTTATATTGTAATATGCAGGAGGTTTAGTCTGATACAAACTATTCTGCCATTATTTGAAGTGGTAACTGAAATTCAGCTCTATCAGAGCAGCCTCCCATTCCTACCAACCCATCCAGCCCATTTAGCCACCACAAACAAACTTGCAGCTTTAAAATTTTCTATCTAAAACATAATAAAAGTAAAAAAATAAAAATTCCTATTCATGTGCCAGTGGCAACTACCCTGGCTGTAAAACAAATAAACTTGGAACACCTGCCCATTACTCATCTCTCTAAGCCAATTAATTATCAAAGTACAACTGGTTCGACCACAAAAGAAACTAATATATCTACCCTCTTTCTTATAGTTCCACTGCAGCTGCCATTGTCCTACTGCAGCTACTTATCATCTCGCTTCTGAACTTTGCTAAAACTTTCTAACTGATCTCTCTTGACTCTAGACTGCTCTCCAATCTACTCTCTACTCTGGGTCTGTACGATCTATTCATAATCCTTCAAAGTTCTCCAGAGCCCAGAATATAATCAAAGTCCATTAACAGGGCATACAAGTTAGTGAACAGAATCTAATCCTTGTCTATGTTTTTCTATCACTTTCTCCACCTATTCTTACCTAGCCAAATAAAAATATCTTCAAGGTTTCTCACACATTTATAGATGGTATTCTTACCACGTGATCCTTTCCCATTTGTCTACCTCCTTTCCCATATTATCCTACCTCCTCCATTAAACATTCCTTGATTTTACCAAGCACAGTACAAGTATTTTCCTCCTTCATGTCTAAGATCATATCAGTAACACTGTTTTATAATACCTTGTATATTTCTGTTCTTACTAAACATTAAGTTATGTGAAAGTGAAAATGATGTCTTTTCACATTTGTGTTACCAAAGTGGTTCTGTAGGTGGGCAACACCACGCTTTAGAGGACACTTTGAAATTTATGAGGATGCTTTATTGTCACAAGAACTAATATACATCACTGGGATTTAATATATATACCTTGAGGTGCACCAGGGAATACTAAACATCCTACAAGGTCCATGATAGTCCTGTAACCTGCCCCCTCCCACACACACACAGAAAAACACATCTTTTATTCCAAATGTCTTTCAAATGTCTCACACATACTATGAGAATTTATCTGAGTAATTATCTGAATCTATAACCTATTTCCAATTATAATTATTACACCAAAATTTTGAAATGATTTTAATAGTTACAAAATTTACCAGAAATGCAAATCAATATCTTTTGGGTTAGGTGCATACCATTACAAAGAGTTGCTGGCATTTTGAAAAATCATTATTCTAATAACAATGTTGTTCCATTTAAGTAACCAATAGAGTACAGTTATTCAACACACCTATATCGTTAACTCACCATCCTTCTCTTTGTTCATTCCTTCCACTGTTTTTAAATTGCATACATAGATAGTTTATACTCTCATTCTTGTGTAAAGAATGCAGGTTTAGATTGAAATATGGTCTACAACATTTTCAATGTAAGGTATGTCTGAAGAAGGAATCATCTAGGCATAGTATGACTACAGAAGTTGGGAAAATATTTAGACTAACATTTGATATTTTTTCCCTTGATATATAACAAATAGTACTGTGAATATCATTTCATAATTTATATTGTTAATTTTACATACTTCAATTATAATTTTCATGCTTTTTTGTGGGAGAAGTGCTGGGGATTGAACCTAAGACAACCTTATGCATGCTAAGTATGTTCTCTACTACTGAGCTAACCCCAAGCCTTAATTATATTTCTTAGTTAAATTTTTCCCAAGCTAGGTACAGAGGCGCATGCCTGTAACCTTGGAGATTGAGGCATGAGGATTGTAAATTTGAAGCCAGCCTCAGCAATTTAGCAAGACCTGTCTCAAAATAAAAATAAAAAGGCCTTGGGATAGAGCTCAGTGGTAAAGCAAACCTGGACTCAATCCCCAGTAAAAAAAGAAAAAAAAAAATTCCCATTTTTACAAGTAGGAGAAAGTATTCTACAAATGTGTATACACCCACAGATTCAATGTATCCCCATAAAATTGGCCTATTTATTCATACTATAACACACTGATTAAATTTCACTGGTGAGGTAAAATTTAAATTAATCACCAAAGTAAATAAAAAATTATTCCCATTCAGATTTAGTAAGATATTTTTTTGGTGAAAATGAAAATCAGACAAAACAGATAAACTTTTTGTTTTTCTAACTCCATCTCAGCTTCTGCTTCTTGTATGTTGTGACTTACTACAAGAGTAAACAACCAAATGATAAGAATTCACTTAGGCTTTTAAAGAATAAATTGAATCAGGGACCCAAATGTCACCTCTACATTCCTTTCTCTAGTTCTCCCTCTGTGAGTAAATTCTATCTTCTTATCATAGATCACTATATTTTATCAAGTCAGGAAGTTTCATATTTTTTAATCAGAGCATAAGAGTTTAGGGAAAAATTCAGAACATACTGGTTTATGCTGGGTAGCGATTCATAGAATAAGCTAGCCACTACAACCCTGGGAGGGAGAATTGTAGTTTGGTAATCATACCACAAAGTATGACCTATAACATCCATTTTTATGCAGTACCATAGTTCTAAATATAACATCATCTAAATTTGATCTAGTTAATGATTTAAAAGAATCAGAATAAAACCTCAATATTAACTTTTTAAGGTTGTGACATCACAGAACTTTGCAATAGGGTATTGAGATAACAACTGTTTCATTATCTACACTACAAAATATACCAAAAGATATCTTTACCTTCGCATTTAAGTATATGTGTTAACATATCATTCTTTCATGAAACTATTAAACTTACACTCAAATACATAAATCTTATAATTTTACCTCTTCTCTTTTTTCTCCTTCTTCCATTGAAATATCATGGTCTACCACATTTTCAATGCAAGGTATGGCTGAAGAAGGGATTGCAATTTCTTCAGGCTCTTGCATAAACAAAGGTTTTTCCTCTTGCTGGATCCATTCTTGATATACTTTTACCACTTTTCTCATAGCTGCTGCTTCACAAATTGGTAATAAAAATGCCTAGTGAAAAAAAAAAAAAGGATATAGACATAATGATATCTTTTCCCTTGCCACAAATCACTAACACATTTCTATCTGATGTGAGATATAAACAATTTTTTTAAAAGTTCATTGATTCATTATCACAAAAAGCCTTTTATCTCCAAATAATTTGTAAATACATCGAGAGAAAAATGTTTATGGTGGATAGCCATAAACAAAGCCATAACAAAAAGCCATAAACAAAGATTGGCTTCCTTTATACCATCTCAGAATCATAGTATTTCTTCTTTCATTAAAAGTATGCTCTTACAAGGTTCAATATAAATACAACTTTTAATAACAAACCACATTTTTGTAACTTACATCATTACTGGTTTGAGATTATATCTAAAATACATTTTGATAAAATGATTTTAATTTAAAAATAAAAATTAGAATACAAAATGTTTTTTAAAACCACATGTAAGCTGACTATGGTGGCACATGCCTGAAATCCGTGAGACTCAGGAGACTAAGTGAGAAGGATTGCAAATTGGAGGCCAGCCTCAGCAATTTAGCAGGGCCCTAAGCAACTTAGTGAGACACAAGTCTCAATAAAAACATTTCTAAAAGGGTTGGGGATATAGCTCAGTGGTAAAATGCCCCTAGGTTCAATACCTAGTACTAAAAAGAGATTTTAAAAAAAAGAATCACATTTAACAAGGCAGCTTAGCTTTTCTAAGCATATAAAGAAAAAAATTAAAGCTCTTATATTTCATTTTTACATATAATCAAGATCTATAATTAAATTAAAAGGCAAAATACTTAGAAAGGAATGTCTTAGTTACTCTTTGCTTTAGATATTTTCTGGGTTGTCATTACTGTTAAAAAGAAAAAAAGTAAACATTTTCCTTGTCACAAAAATACTACATTTTGCCAGGCACAGTTGCACAGGCCTGTAATCTCAGACTTGGGAGGCTGAGGCAGGAGGTTCACAAGTTCAAGGCCAGTCTCAGCAATTCAGTGAGACTCTGTCTCAAAGAATAAAAAGGGCTAGGGATGCAGCTCAATGGTAGAGTATTCTTGGGTTTAATACCCAATACTGCAAATAAATAAATAAATAGCAAACTATATTTTTACAGTAAAACATAATTAATCTCAACATACAAAATAAAACAGTAAAAATACTCAATCTTACTCTCAAAGTCCTTTCACTATAAATGTCTGTTATGGTTACCATTTCTATTTTACTTTTTATTTACAAATGAAAACACAATTAAATTGCTTCTTTTTACCACTTGTACATCAGATAGAGCACTAATCTCCAGGATATATAAAGAACTCAAAAAACTAAATACCAAAGAAACAAATAACCCAATCAATAAATGGGCCAAAGAACTGAACAGACACTTCTCAGAAGATGATATACAATCAATCAATCAATATATAAAAAAATGTTCAACATCTCTAGCAATCAGAGCAATGCAAATCAAAACTACTCTAAGATTTCATCTCACACAAGTCAGAATAGCTGCTTTGAGAACACAACAATAAGTGTTGGTGAGGATGTGGGGAAAAGGTACACTTGTACACATCTGGTGGGACTGCAAAGTGGTGCACCCAACATGGAAAGCAGTATGAAGTCTCCTTGGAAAACTTGGAATGGAACCACCATTTGACCCAGCTATCCCACTCCTCAGTCTATACCCAAAGGACTTAAAAACAGTATACTACGGGGACACAGCTACATCAATGTGTATAGCAGCACAATTCACAGTAGCTAAACTGTGGAACCAACTTAGATGCTCTTCAATAGATGAATCGATAAAGAAAACTGTGGTATATATATGCAATGGAATATTACTCAGTAATAAAAGAGAATAAAACCATGGCATTTTCAGATAAATGGATGGACTTGGAGAATATAATGCTAAGTGAAGTTAGCCAATCCCTAAAAACCAAATGCCAAATATTTTCTCTGATATAAGGAGGCTGATTCATAGTGGGGTTGGGAGGGGAGCATGGGAGAATTAGATGAACTCTAGATAGGGCAAAGGGGTGGGAAGGGAAGAGAATGGGCATGGGGAACAGAAAAGATGGTGAAATGAGATGGACATCATTACATTAAGTACATGTATAAAGATACAAATGGTGTGAATATAGTTTGTATATAACCAGAGATATGAAAAATTGTGCTCTATATGTGTAATATGATTTGTAGTGAATTCTGCTGTCATATATAACAAATCAGAATAATAAAAAATAAACAATTGCTTCTACTTCTTCATTTTAGAACCACCACCCACTAATTTAATGTTAACTTTAAAAATCATAAGACCTTTTACCTAAAACCTGGCACTTTACACAACAGAATTATCCAATAGGTATATTTAATAATTAATTAGTAAAGATGAGTTTATTTTCTCTCAATCAAACCTGCAAAAAAAATCACATCCAAGATAATGATGAAAAAGTTAATGGGCAATTTCAATAGTATATTTAATGTTGTTTAGCAATCCTTTAATTTTTTAATATTATTGATTTCCTAGAAATATTTAATACTTTCCTCAACTGAACAAATCCATTCCTAAATTCTCACTCTCATATTCTAGCAGATTCGTTATCAAGTCATTTTGATCACTATTTATATTATAGTTGGAGCAACAGCTCACCCTTACTTAAAGATTTAAATTAAAATAGTTTAATTCCAAAGAAGTTCTATTCTAAATTCTGAAAATTTAACTTATTTTTAAAAATCTAACTTATTGTCCAAAATTCCTATAGAAACTCTCTATATTTTTCAATTTTGTTATGAACCTAAAACACAAAAAATAAAGTATAATAATTCAAAAGATTAGCAATTTCTAGAGCTTTTATAATTTCATTTTTCCCAGTACCATTTATTGTTTATTAAATTATCAAACTATATTCCCAAGTGATTTGATACATTCAAACTACATTCCAAAGTGAAAAAGGTTATATTCCTTATCTTTAGGTTATCATTACCCAAAATTTATTTATCCTTGCAGATTCTAAAATATGCTACTGACACACATGATCTGAAAGAAATATTGTTGTTAGCCACAGCTAAAATCTAATACATAAAAGTGATAATTTATAAATTTACAATGAGAAATAACTGACAGAACCAGGATATTCAAGTCCACATATTAGCAGCGTATTTCTCTATGGCAAGTAACAAAGGACCCTGAATAGCCAAAGTAAACTTGAACAAGAAAGAACGACTACTTAGCATGCATAAAGTCTTGGGTTCAATTCCCAATACTGGGAGAGGAAAGGGAAAGGAAATAAAAGAAGAGAGGAGAGGAAAGGAGAGGAGAGGAGAAGAGAAAGGAAAAGAAAAGTAAAGAGGAGAAGAGAAGAGAAGAGAAAGGAAAAGAAAATGAAGAAAGGAAGGACAATGCTAGGGATTTTGCACTTCTTGACTTAAAAATGTACTACAAAGCTACAGTAATCAAAACAGCATGGCACTGGCATAAAAAAAGAGATACACACACCATTAAAACAGACTATGGAACCTAGAAACAAATCCCTACAACTACAGTCACCTGATTATCAAAAAGGGTGCCAAGAATACACATAGGGAAAGGATGGTCTCTTCAACAAATGATGTTAGAAAAACTGAACATCCGGAATGGGAAGATGGCGGCGAGGGGAGTGCATTGCCCCCGTGTGCCGCATCACTGTGTGGGAGAATGACGAGTCAGGACTGCTAAAGGCTATCTTGTTAGGAATTTCCAGCAATAGTGGGGTGCTCCGGAACCTGGAGGAAGGATTTCCATCGCACGAGGATCGGCTGCGGGGACTCAAACGCGAGAGATTTGTTGCACGGAGGGTAACACTGCTTATTCAGCAAATCGCCCCGCGGCTAGAGTCTGCAGTGCGCGCTGGGAAACCAAGAGATAGCGACGCAGGGATACAGCGCTGCAGTTTCTGCCAGCCGTGCAAGCACCGTACTCAGTGCTGAATTCTGGGTTCGAGACGGGGGAAGGAAGCGGACCAATTCGGTTCTCCACACCGGTCAGATCACAGAGGAGGCCAGCAGCCACGATCTTGGAGAGGTGACGTCACCATCCATGTTTTCGACTGACCACAGCTCATTCAGTCATAGAACAGGTAATTCCAGGCTGCCATTCGCCTGCGGCTTGCAGACAGATTACTCAGGCTCAGTGCTAGATGACCCACGGAGACTGCTTCTTGGAGCCTGCTCTTAACGGAGCGTACACCGAGCACAGAGCGGCTGAGTTCCGGCTCCCAGAACTGCTCTGGCCCAGGGCTAAGGAGCCCGCGGAAACTGCTTCTCGGTCCGGGTCCTGCTGAGTACTGTGGAGGTAAATACCAACCAAGCCTTCGTGGGCAGTGGCAACAGGACTGAGACGGAGCCTGTGAGGGCCGGTCAGGACTCACCCATTGCTTTGGTCACCCGGCAAAGGGAACGAAGGGCTGCCATTCGCATAGGATACCAATATGGCAGAGATCTCATGTCATCAGAAAGCAGCGGATGAGAGAACTTCATCAATACCAGCGGCGACAGAAACAGTTGGTCTCCTGGTAGGGAGGGTGAGTCACAGACACCCGAGTCTCTCTCGCTTTGTCTTCGAGCCAGAGGGGAGGAGCCGGGCCGCCGCCCGCGCCCTGAGCAGGCCCAGAGGCTTGCCGGCGTGGTGGTCGCGTGACCCCAATTGGAGAGGGGGCGGAGCGGAGCCACCACCCACGCCCGCAACATGGGCAGACCTGCGACACAGTGGTACAGGGGCGTGGTAGGAGGAGCAGGGCAGAGCCGCCGCCCGCGCCTGCAAGGTAAGCAGACCTGCGACAGACCGGCGGGTCAGGCCCAGCGGCCTGCCAGCGTGGTACACACGTCACCCCAACTGGAGTAGGGGCAGAGCAGAGCCGCCGCCCGCGCCCGGATCAGGCCCAGCGACCAGCTGGCGTGGTAGTCACAACACCCCAATTGGAGTAGGGGCAGAGCAGAGCCGACACCCGTGCCCAAAACGTGGGCAGACATGCGACTGACG